CGTCAAATATATCGAGATGTGTGAATCTAAAGAAGTGAAAACTTTCTTCATTGAAGTCACATGATTATCACATTTTGAGCAGAACTTACTTCCCTTTGCTTTAGGTTCATCAATATCAAAGCAAGTCACTTCAATGATAATTGAACTGACTAACATATTTAAAGCTTTATATAGGAAAGTTTTTAATGTGGAAGAGCTTGACAAACTTCAAGATCAAACCACGATTACTTTATACCATTTTGAGAAGATATTTCCTCCAAACTTCTTCATTATTACGATGCATTTAGTTATCCACCCTTCACATGAAGTAAAAATCGGTGAACTAGTTTATTATTGATGAATGTGTCCTATCAAAAAGTATTATTTGTTAATAACTTGATTAGGTTGTTAATGTTGATCACTCAAGTTAAAAAAGTATATGACAAATGTTTTATGCCTTAGATTTTTGGGGAGTTTAAAGTCTTATTTTTGCAATAAACGCTATCTAGAAGGTTCTATTGCTGAAGAATATTTAGTAAAAGAGTGTATGATATTTTGTTCTTATTATTTGGAAGTATTGAAACGAGATTTAATAAACCATTCAAAAATATTGGTATACATGCAGCATACTGACTTTGCCTACATTTATCTTTTTGAAAGTTTTGACAACCAATAGGCAAAGCTGAAGTGGCCCAATTAGATGATAAATTTTGGATACAAGCACATCGATATATTCTTTTCCATTATGACTCAATTGAATCATTTCACATATAAGTTTTCCTACAAAAAAAGCATTCATTCTATTAAGCATAAATTATTATATATTTTTTATTATTAATATTTTATCTTTATGCATGTAGTGAGTATAGAAAAAAAATTGAGAGCTCGTGCACATTATCGATAATCAAACCCTTAAGAACTTTATAAGTTGTTCACCGAAAACTTTCATGAATGGTTAGTAGAAACTTTAAATAATGCCATACTTCCCATTATAAGAATTGCACATAGAATGCTTAGGGTATAAATAAAATTAATAACATATATATTTGTTCCACCTTTATAGGTTTTGAATGGAAGACTTGTTAATGAAGAGGTGAAGTGTCATTCACAAGGTTTGAACAGGATTATGAAATGATACAAAGGTTTCATCATCAATGAATTTAAATTTCACACTAAATCCCGTGAGAGATTTAGAAGAACACAAAATTCATGAGTTCTTATTACTTCATCAATAACTAGTGATGCTAGTGTTAGGGATACAAACCCTTTAGAGGGAAATGTTGACTATTATGGCACAATTAATGACATCGTTGAGTTGGATTATTATGACAAGTGGAAGGTTATCTTATTTCGGTGCGATTGAGCTGATGTGAATAGTGCAAAGGGTATTAAGAAAAATCAATTTGGATTTACAATCATGAATTTTTCTCGATTAATTCACACAAACAACAACTAATCGATGAACCTTAAATTTTTTCCTCTTTAGTCAAACAAGTTTTTTATTATGAAAACCCCAAAAAATTGGATTGGTTTGTTGTACTTTATAATGCATCTAGGGACTTATTTGATATGGGATCAGATACCAGAGATGATGTTGAAGATGGAACTGAATACTTTTCTTTTGCTAAAGAAAACATAGATAGAAATATCTCCAGTATCTCTACTCAATGAGTTCGCGAAGATATTGATGAAGACATTTATGAATCATGATAAATCATCCATATTTTATAATTAGAGTGTTTAAAATATAATGTAATAAATGCTTGTATGTGATTTATGTGGCATTTGCTTTTATATATTTATTGTATTGTAAATCATACATTATTTTTTAATTTATTTAAATCGATATGTTCTATATTGGGGGTTATGATTTCTTAACTTCTCAATGCTTTTATATATGTTCTTTAGATATGTTCTTTATATATCATTTGTTATATTTACAATGTCTAAACTTTTCAACTTTTAAATGATTCACTTTTATAATGCAACTAAGCTACAATGTCGAGGAATAAATTGAAGGGAATATATATCAGAGATATTAGTTCAAAATCATTTGCGACACCTATTGATCTTAGCAATGGACTAAACCTTTGGAAATGAATGTGCTTACTATTGGTTCTAACTCAGTTACTTCTAACCATTCAACTGATATTAGATCTGACAATATAGGAAATCCAAGTTTAGATAGTATCCCGCCAATTGATTCTACTTTTAATTTGAATACAGGTATCATAAACCCCATATTTATATTTCGATTATAATCATTAAAGTATTAGTAATTTACTAATTGATTTTTTATTTTTTGCAATTGATAACAATGATTAGTAGAAACCAAAGGCCAGACAACTTTGAAAGAATTGTTTGCACTACCTCCAAGCGAGTGTATTGTAATATCTACAAACTCTAATAGGTAACCAATTGATGAAGAGTCTTAACTGTTAGCTAGATTTCTAAGCATAATTGCTCGTAATGAAATGAAATTGCCTATTCATTATGAAACATGGCATAAAGTTCCAGCAAAAGTTAAGGTCGATGCTTTAAATTTTATTGAGATTTTAGTATAATTAATTACATATGAAAAATTAAGTATTTTAAATTTGATTTATCAATTTTTTTTTGTATTGTTACAGTCAAGATTTATACTTGAAATACCTACTTCATTTGTGCTTAAGTCATTAGAAAATAAATAAAAAGATTATAAGCATAATTTGAAGAAAATGTATTTCGATCAAAATAGTACTGTAGAAGCTACAATAAAAAATTTACCTAGTAATGTTATTAGGTGACAATATGAACAATTACATCAAATAATTAAATTAAATCAAATATTTATTTTAGGCATATCATCTATCTTAAAATTTTTACTTATTGAGAATTAAAAAAATCATGATCCATTCACATGATAATTGATTTATTTCATTAATGACTTAAGCCTGTTAATCAAACTATCTAGTCAAAATAATTTGTTCAACTATAATTAATTTTTTTATAAAAATATTATTATCATATTTGTTGTTTTAATAATTGTGACATATAATCCAAATTCAAAGCTAAAAGAAATTAATATATAAAAAAATAATAAAATGGAAAAATCATCTAACAGTGGATGGCATCCAAGCAAAAATTAATTAAAGCTCCTTTTACTAGTTTAACTTAAATTATCTAGATAAACATGAATCATTTAATTCAAGTTAAATAAACTAAATTAATTTAATTATTTGATATAATAAATATTGATACACCATGCTATACATTAATATTTATTTATTATTATTTTTATTATTAAAAGTAAATTTTTTATTATTTTAATAAAATTTTCATTTCAAATAATGATATTAGAAAATATAAACCAGTTATATATGCATATATATATATATATATTAATACCAAAACTCTCCAATTAAATTCTTTTTTTTTTTTTTTAAATCTGCTTTTTTTGATGATTAGCTTTTAGATCTGTATATCATTAAGATTATATGCCAATCTTGTAGGGTAGACTAATTTCAATGCTACTCTACTACTTTCTTCATGCCTAGCTTTTAGATCTCCAAGATTATTTGCCAATTTTGGAGGGTATGTCTCACAGACAAGAAATAGATAAGGATATCTTTATATTCCAGGTTCAATTTCCACCACATATGAACTTACCTTAATTTTATGTTGAATTTTATCTAATTATACAATGCAAGTTTGTTGAATAATTTATTTATTTGTTTTATTTTATCTAATTTCTTATAAGGATTAAAGTCAAATTTGTTATTATATTATAATTAATATTGAATTTTACCATTTTACTTTAATTTCATTTGATTTTATCACTATATTTTCGTAAAGACAATAACAAAATTAATGAAAATATACCCTTACACTAATTTAGTCTAATTTTTAATTCAAATATCAATAAAATTGAGATAATAGTGATAAAACTCAATAAAATTGAAAAAGCAACATAAAATTCAATTAAACTTGTTTTAAATATAGTAAATATAACAAATATATCGTTAATATAGAGTTATTTAATTCTGATTCTAATTCCTATGTGTAAATACAATTTCATCAAAAAGTTTTTGATTGCATCTAATGTTTAAGAAATAAGGCCTTGTTCAATAAATTGTTGAAAATTTACATTGCAATGAAATTTAAAAAAAAAAAATTCAGCACTTTCGATTTTTTAATACATTTGGTAACATATTTTAAAATTCATTTAAAAGAATTTTTTGAATAAAAAAATATTGAGCAAGATAAATGAGTATGACCTACTTAATACAAAAAATATTAAGTAAATTTTTCTCTAATTTTTTTTATTTATTATCCTTTAAAAACTCTACTTTATTATTTGTAACGAAAATACAGGTAAAAAAATAAAATGATAAAATTCAAAATTTTTTGTTTATCAAATAATATATTTATATTTAGCATTTAATTTTTATTAAAATAATAAACAATTTTTATAACTCAAATTTAGTACTTATCAAACTTAGTATTAAAAATTCAGTATTTAATTTTTCAGTTGACAGAAATTTCTGTTTGGTTTGAAAAAATGTCTTTTTTTAATTATTTTTTAAAAATATAGTTGGTAAATGAAAATAAAAATTATTTTTTAAAAAATTTAAAAATAAAAAAATAAATAAAATATCTAATGATATTCCTATTAATGACATAATTATAAATATAATATATATTTATTAATTAATGACATTAAAAAATAGTCAAATATAATAATTTACAAAAACGTAAGGAAAAAAGTAACGAATATCCATTTTTTTTACAATTGAAAATATATATTCTTTTTATTTCAACTCATTTTTAGTTTTTCTTTTTAATTTTATTTTCATTTTCAATTATCAAACAAATTTTTATTCAAACTTTTCATTTTCCAAGAAGATAAAAACAAAAAATATTCTACTTTTTGAAACCAAGCACTAACTAAATATATTACTATTTTTTAAAACCATATGCTATCTAAATATAATTTGTCTTTATCCGATGCCAATAGCCTAGGAGTTTACTTGCAGCATGAAACCAACAAACCAATCAAAATAAAAAGTTTATTTGCAGCGGATAACAGCTGTTTCCAAGAATATATATTTACAAATTAATGAAAGTATTGGATCTGAGTTGCATAATAAATAAATAAATAAATAAACCACATTTTCATTGAAAAAAATTATGGTACAACAGAATCAAAGAATGCTGTACTGCTGGTTCCAACAATCTAAGCAATAGAAGTGGGTAGTAAAGCAATTAGTAAAGTCAAGAATGTTAGAATTCCTCCAATTGTCGAAGTGGAAGCTGAACCAACATCATGGGCACCAACAGAATACACCGTTCCTGACTTTTCATCCTTTACCTTGATGCTTGAAGAGCCTAAAATTAACCACAATTACATATTACAGAAGCTAACTCTTTATTTTTTGTGTGAAAGTGTTTTAAAGACTTTAAAAATGGAGGTAAAACAATAATACTGACTTACACATAATAGTGAAGTTCTAAGAAAAAAAAAAAAAAAAAAACTAATTGAAGGATTCGACCAAAAAAATAAAGATCTTCAAGAAGGTACTCACAGTTGTATTCAGTCCATCCAATAGTCTGGTTTTCGATATCATATATAACCAACTTATTTGAAAGCACCAAATCTGCATTGTCAAGAGATTAAATAAATAAAATTGGAATCACAACCTTTCACATTAGATTATTCTTCTCTTCACGTTGTAGCAAATTAAAAGAACAGATTAGTTAAAACAAATCGTAGCTATAATATGTTCAACTGAACTACTTTTCTTCAGTATTCTTCAGAAGATACAATGCCACCAACCACCAGTCACATTAAAGCAGCATGAGGGAACACTAAAATTCACATTCATAGGCTTTTGGTTTCACAAGAAAAGTTAATAATGATAAGTTGGGATGCCAGGCAATTATAAGAGCCAAATATGCATAAAACCAAAGTTCTATTTGTATGGTGGAAAGTGTTTTTTATGATGTAGAAAAATATTCTTGTAAACCATAATTTATTAAAAAAAGAAAATAATGGTCTGTAAAACTCATTTTCTGGTAGATCCTTTGGAAGTATAAGTGGCTATTATGTCTCTGAAGGGGATAGGGTTATGAAAATGTTACTTCTGGTGATGGATGACCAATGAGGACAAACGGGATAATTGACAACTGCTGTAGGTAGTAAATGGGCAGTTTTGGCTCGGATTGTCTACGGGTTTGATTCATCCTGGGTATGGGTCATGTTCAGGTCATTTCGAGTTTGAATTTCTTTGAGCTAGGGTACTATCAAATTTTGGTTGCACATCTTATAGTTTCAGGCCACTTTTACGAAGCTGTGACCATTTTAGCATGATTTTCAGGTTCAGATCCATTTTTGTTTGGGTTTTCTTAAGTTCAGAATGTTTTAGATTCAAGTTTCTTTGGGTTTGAATCTTTACTTTTTTTGGTCAACTCCAAGAGGCTTGTGTTCAAGTTCAGGCTTTTCGGGCAGATTTTCGAGATTGGGTTTATTTTGCCACCTCCAACAGATATAGCTGAAACTCTTTTTTAAAATGCGCAATTTAGACCATCAGAGAAGAGCATCAGCATAACATAAAAAGCACAGAGACATTGCACATCTCATATTTTGCAAGCAAAATGTCAAATGAGTTCTTAACGACAAGAAATTCTAGGATATACCTCCCAAAAGGATAATTCCTTTGCCATCTTTAGATTGGTTTCCACTGTTCTGCCAACCAAAACACCAAGCATCTTCCTGCAGAAAGCCAAGAAGTGATATTTTAACCCACCATTAATAAAAAAAAAAATGAAGATTGACTCTATAAATATATTGGAATAAATTATATAAACTAATTTAACAATTGGTTGCCCAACAAATAATTAAGCACTAATGAAAATAACAGTAACAAAAAGAACATGCTTCCTGGCCTTGCTAATTCTCAGGAACTAGAAGAAATGAAACTCAGACGGAACTACCTTATTTATCAAATATAGCATTCATTAAAAGAAAATAAACTCCATGCAATAAGCTTCACAGTTGACTATAACAGTACCATGGAACATAAGGCTATTAGTAGATGCTATCGGCATATGACAAACAAAAACCATCACCAGCATCATCCTTGAACGAACCAGTTTTCTATTCCCTCTCTTTGTGTCTCCCTCCCATCCACCCACCCACCCAGCCCTTCCATCTCTTTCCTAGGTAAGTTTGCAGTTTGAAAGGTGTTCTTAATGAAGAACAGACTTACTATGTAGGGATCGTAATTTAAAGCTGCATTCCACAGAAATGCCAGTACTCATAGAAATGATAAATTAGGGTGCATGATAACTGCAGTTACATAATTTCCAGGTTGGAAGCATTGTCATTAAAGAACTTGGTCAATTTAATTTAATTAAATACTTTTCAAAAGAGAACTTGGATGAAGTAATTAGAATTTATTTCTCCACATTTTATGTTTTAATTGAAGCATGAGCGGTGAATAATTTATCGATATGTGGGAAAAGTAATAACTACCAAAAGAAAGTGACTATCACCATAAAAAAAACTACTTGAAATTACTTCTAGATCAAAATTCAGTTTCAGAAGTAGGACCATTAAAAGGAAGAATTTTTTTTTTTTTTAGTAGGCCATAAGAAAATGGAGCTATAGGAAAAGAGGTTCACAAAATCTTAAAGGTTGACAGAAAGATTAAGAACAATCATAGCAGTTTACCTACAAAATCAAAGAATGATGTATTTAAGATGGAAGTGTCAAAAAAAATGAATAAACCAAGAGGCCTAAGTAAACTTAGGAAGTTACCTTATTTGCCTCTATTATGAAAATGATGACTATGTTGAGAAACAAAGTTCGCTACATACTTGACCATATAATGAAACCTTACGGACTATTAGCTAGTATTCTTCATTAAAAACAATCATTCCCTCCGTAAAATTCCTAACTTGATTAGCAATATAATACTTCAAATATTTACATTGACATACGAGAGAACCATGTTTGTGGATCATAAAATGAATTAAAAGAAACAAACTGTACTTACGCGAATTTGGAACAGATACTCATGGGGATAAACTGCTAAAACAAGGGAATCTTTAAAATGGAACTTTACGACTGGAAATCCATCATCAACACTGCAAGAGCACAGGAAAGGAATTAAAAAAAAGAACCAGTAAGTCTTAGAACAAAGTATTTCACAGGAATTAATGAAGGAAAAAGGCATTGATCAGTCCAACACAAGTAACCTGATCTTGAGGTAAAGAAATGAAATAACAAGGCAAACAGAATATAAATCAAGAATTTCCCCTTTTCTTTTAAACTTTTTAATAGAATATGAATAATGACTTTCAAAGTTGTTTCAGCACAAGAAGGCAACATATAATAAATCCCCTTTTCTCATAAGCAAGGAACCAAGAAATACTTGTGAAGTAAAAAACTTGCTCTTGATACACAGGTCACAACCGCATGATACATCTTTTTGACAAGAGTAGGATGAAAAATCAAATCATCACTAATTACAATTTTGTGACATTTCTCTAACTCCTTAGAGATTCCAAGCTAGAACAACGTTTTCTGGTCATTTTGGTTGTTCAAATTTAAATATATATATATATATATATATTGCAGTAAACATATGATTTCTCATCTCTACTTCTTGCTCTTAGAAAAATCGGGTTTACAAACTAAGAGCATTTGACATTTTAATTATTTTTTCTTAAAGCAGCATCCTTGGTTAAATGCACATTCTTTGTTGGTAAGCATTAGGGAATATTAGTAAACAATACTTCAATTTGGAATTGAATCCAAAATGAGATATCTACCAGTTTCAAAACACTAGAGATAAAATCAGCATAACCAGTCATAAAACACAAGTATTATTGAAGAAAAATATTTATATATAGCAGCAAGAACATTGCAGCATAACATGTTTATTGATCAAAATAAAGTAAATGTATGGGGGAAATGTAACAAATATTTGGAACAACAGAAGTTGCAAGCATAGCATTCAGATTGTGCTGTTATCCATATCACAGATAGACAAATGATATGCATTCACAACATATATAGCAGAGAGTGCAATTGCAGTGTCTTACTTTTCCACAAACTTGAAACAAGTAAACTGGTCCTGTACCGTATGCAATTTCAATGCAGGCTGCTGGGAGAGAACCTAGTTGATAGAAAGGACAATGTGATTAGTAATAGACAATGTCAAAATCAAAGTAAGGTAAGGAGTAACACTTACATTTGTCATTAGTGGTTCATAAATTGTGGATGGAAGATATGCTAAGGTTGTACCACTATCAACTATTGTTCCTTTTTGATCTGCATCATCAAAAGTATCACTTGGTAGTTCTAGTACAGCATCACCAACCTCAACTGCCTTCATTACAATGTTATAATGTGCCCTAGGATTGTTGAGAAAAGTATATTTATTAATTTATAAACCAAGAATTCACCCGACAGATGAAAAAGAGTAAAACCTTAAACAAAAACTTTAAAACTACAAGGCAATACAAAAACTTTAAAACTATAAGGCAATCCACAAACAAACTCAAGTAAATAGAAAAAGAGTTAAATTTTTAGTAGGTTTTTATTTTAGGAGTTTTAACATTTTTTGGGTTATTTTCTTTATCTTTGCATTTGGAATTCGAATTTGAAAGAAGAGATTTGGATTCTAAATTTTCTTGTTCCAATATCACCCTCAACGAGAAATGCTTAAATTATAAGTCATCAGTTATAAAAACCATAGATGTTAAAGAAACTAAGAAATTTAAGATAGATAACTTACTGGTTAGGAACCATAGGTGTTGTTTTCACTTTTGGTGATACTACTGCACCGATTGCAAAGATTCCACCACCATCTATATTATCCAAACAGTGTGCAAACATTCTTTTTACTTGCCCGGCTGCAGCTAGTTGTGAAATCATAGATGAATTTGCTTGTCCAAATCCAAGTATCCCATCTAGTGCTTCACTTGATGAACCTAATTCCCCAGATTGTTTAGCACCACACCTAACCAGAAAATGGAAATTCTAATAATTCTAAATTACATGAATAACCAAAATTACATATCAGCAGCAGTGCAGAAAAAGATCCTTCCGTTGACAAAGTAAGTTCCACCCCTCCAACCAATACACATCAAGAAACTGGGACCATCTCTCAAACCAATACCTCTAAAAACCATGTGCAACTTCATTTTTTTTTTATTTGGGGGGTCCAACAACGTGTTGAAGAACTAGCAGAGAAAGCAAAGGATGGGCACAAAAAAATACAGGAAAATTTTAACAGAACTTTACAATAATCAACCAGATTGACTCAGTCAGAACTAATGCCAGTAGCCAATAAACAACAGAAGAAAGAGGTGGAAGGAAGATCAGCTGAAGAAAAACAAGATCTCATTTAGTATGTCATGCAATCCAAGGACCACAAACATGGAGGAATTCATACATCATAAGAACTGCTGCACACCATACATTAGTTAATCAGTAATTAAATGTGATAGTGCAAAAACAGTCTTGTTTAAAGAAGACGGAGAAACAAAAAAAAAAAAAAAATTCCATTTGTATAGGCCATATGCAATTTTTTTAACCCCCATTTTCAGCCTTGTTTAGTAAGATCCTAACCTAAAAGCAGAACTAAGATTTTACCACAACAAAGCAAAGTGGTTTCTTGTATTAGTGCCAAACACTTAGGGAGAACAAGAAAACCTTCTTTGTATGCTATAGACTATAATCTGTAACAAGATTGCTCAGCAAATCTATGAATACTTGAATAATTTTAGACTGTGAGCATCAAAGTGAAACCACTCATCTATGTGCACACAATAGACTTATGTAGGACAGAAACTGGTTACAAACAGATGTTCCTAGGTCAAGTAACTAATGAAAGCCACCCTCAAAGACAAAGCCATGCTCAAGTGAATTACTAAACATTTAGCTTCTTAATAGAGAAAACCATCGTTATAAGGGGCATTTTCAAAAACAAGGTGCATAAGCAACAATGGCAGCCAAATAAAATGTGTCATGAAAAATAAGAATTCATCAGAATTCCAACTAACCCGAATATAACAGTCCCATTTGTAGATCCAGTCTTAAGGTTTCCAGTCACCTTCTGGAGTTGTATGGTGTCCTTAACAAAGTATCCAGCAGTTGAGCTTCCATCACCATAAATGACATTATATTGGCACTGAAGACTGGGTTTGCAACCAGGGAGCATACCATCATATGTCGAAGTACAAAAATCGTGATCACAATAAACCAAGCTTGAAGTGGAGGACTTTTTTGGATCATATAGTGTCAATTCTATCTGCAATAGAATAATTAAAACAATAAATGTTTTCTTAACAAAAATTTATCATAATTCAAAAAGAACACAACAACCACAACTTTACAGTATGACATAGAACTAGTGACTGTTGCATATCTGATAAAATCTACAGAGATTAATATAAAATTATAAAAGGAGCATACACCAAGGTCACTTTTTGTAGGGCAGTTGTCACATCCAGCACAATTCACCCATAGAATGTCACTTCCAGTATCAACTTGCACATAATAGTCCTTTGATGGATTTCCTAATCCAATTTTAGCAAAATATAGCCTGAAAAAAATTAAGAAAATGAGCAATAAATTAGCACCCCAATATATGGAAAACGAAAATTGTTTTCAATAATACATTTATAAAATTAATGCAAAGAAAATAAAATCCTCTTCCTTATATATCCAATAGAGCAAGTCAGCTGGATCTTAAGCTACCATTAGCTCAAGTAAGATGCTTTTCAAGTATCTCAGCTTTAAAAATAATTACAACTATATGTATACGATGGAATTTGAGAGCAATTAAGAATATAATGGCACCATGGAATTTACAACAGCTGAATTTTTCTACTATGTAAAGATGAGGAGTTAATTACATTTTTGGTACCTGAACTTTGGGAAAAGGTATAAATTGGTACCTAAAGAAATAAAATCTATAATTTGCGCTTGACCTTTCAAATAATATATTATTTTAGTCCAAATTTTAATACCATTAATTTAACTCGCCTATATTGTATTTAACCAATATAATTTTGTATATACATGTTATTTGTTAAATAAAAGTGTTAAATATTTTGTAAAAAATCATGTGTATGTCATTGGATAGTATGTGTGGTAAATAAAAGTGTTAATTTATATTAAAAAAATATGTTGATAGTATGTGTGGTAAGCACATAACTTGATAACATTTGTCAAAAATCATATGTATAAGCTGATAAGATTAGCGGGAGTAGAGTTTGGGTTAACATGATGCGTAATTTGAAAGTTGAGGTGTAAATTGTATATTTTATTTCTTTAGGTTCCATTTTGTATTTTTTTTAAAGTTTAGGTACAAAAATGTAATTAGCTCCAAAATCAATTTGAAAATGAAATTTGAAAATACTTGCGAAAAGATATCAAATTCAAATTCAATTATAGTTGACCCTCCAAAGAAGAAAATAAAATAAATTAATCCTTTTTGGCAGTAATTGAATCTCATCATCAAACAGAAAACATCAAAATTCAGCCAAACCAAATTTCTTTTAAAAAAGAAAAAGAAAAATAGCAATTCCCTTCACCTGAAAATCTCTTTACTGCAAAGAGAATTCCTTCAAATATAAGATATAAAAACACCAATATCTGTATATAGAACCAAAAATAATTCATAGAAACAAAAACCAACAAAGAAACATAAACATTTGAACATAAATATATAAAAAAATGAAAAAACTAACCCAGTTTCAGAAGGTTGACCATTGCCACCTATATGGAGATCGACGTCGACAGTAGAGAGAAGTCTACCATGACGACGGATGTCATGAGCTCTCAATGCACTTAAATTCTTTCCTTTACCTGCAAATTTATGTTTTACATCAAAAGTAACGACATTTCCAAAACTACAACAACCGAATTCACCCACAACTGCCATCGCCACCGTCACAACCGCCAACTCCAATCGCCTTAGATCCATCATCTTTAACAATTATAAACAAATTACCTCCCCCTCTCTCTGTCTCTTAAACTTTCAAGCTTTTTTGTTTATTTAATAAAAATATAGCTTTTTTTCTGGGTTTTTTTTTATTTTTATTTCAAAGAGGATTCAAAAAATGTGGGACATTGAGAGGGAGAGAGAGAGGAGGCAGAGGCGAAGGCAAAAGCCCAAGAAGAAGGAAAAAAAAAAAAAAAAAGAAAGTAGAGAAATGCGCGTTTTCAACGGCAAATGACACGTCTCATTTGTAAGAGCACGGCGATCCAGGAAATTTTTGGTAAGCTATAAAAACGTCCGTTGCTTTCTTGTTTTGTCATGTTTTTATTTTTATTTATTTTTTGTTTTTGTAAATTGTCTTCTTTATTGGGGTGACGGATGAGTTTAAATTTTTCATTTTTTATAGACAAGCAAAATTAAAATATTAAAACATGTTTTATTAAATATATTTTTAAAATTTCACCCTCCACATATAAAATAATAATTTATCATTTAAATATGTGAATTTCATTTGTTGTTAATTTTTTGGGTTGTTTTTCACCTTTAAAAAGAAAAGAAAAAGAAAAGTGTGGTTAAATAAAAAATAAATAATAATTTTATAAATTAAAGTTAAATTTTTTTAGGAAAAAATTTTATATTTATATATTATATAAAAATTATGTTAGGAGAGTGTTAAACTTTTATTATTTATTTGTTGTTAAATTTTTACCCACTTTATCATTTTTGTTATTTTATTCATTTTTAATCATTATAATTTCATTTTCTAGTAATTTTTTGTTTTTTTTTTTTCATTCACTTTCTATTAATTCCTTAGATAGTATAAAAACAAATAACAAAAACTGAGTACCAAAAATAATAACTAAATACAGCCAATCTATCAAATATATATTTATATATATATATTGCCAGATGTCAAAAATATATTTGATATTATATTTTTAAACTTATAGTTAAAGAGATAGTATTCCACTTACTTTTTTTTTCAAACAAAACCAAATTTGATCTTTATTTATTATAATATTATTTGTAACTAAAATTTCAAAAAAAAATCACTTTTGAAAAATTCTAAACTAAAAATTTTCAAATTTTATTTTGAAATTTTAATTCCACTTGATATCACTAGTATCATGATGAAAGTTGATTAAATTTAACCCAAAAATAAATATAAAAAATGAGAATTTAAATTGAAATAAAAAAAATACATTACCAAAGAAAATATTCGTTTTGGTTGTTTATACTTTATTCTTTGTTTTGGGTTTAGGTCTGTCCAGCTCTACAAGTCTTCTTTGCTTCACATTTTCTTTTCTTCTCATTTCTATTGTTTTGGTTCCTTTCCTTTCTGTATTTGCGTTGGCATAAGGCTTCTTTTCAAGCCTTCTCTCTATTGTTTAAGGACATTAACTTCGATTATCAAAAGTTAGGATTTTTGCCAAAAGCTGTGAGGTTTTTAGTAGAGTGCTAGATTTAATCAAAGAGAAATATTGTTAATATATTATAATAACTTAAGGTTTTGTTTTTCAGATCAATAACATGATTTTAGAACTTAAAGAATTATATTAACAAGGTTTTACATGAAAGCAGTCCATTACCATGCTCAAAGGAGTCGACTACTTTAGACATCCAAAGAGCAGTCAGTTGCTGAAGACAAGGAGTTGACTGCTTTGATAAACAAAAACTAAATCTTAGATTTTGTATAAATAGCAATCAACTGCTAGCCTAGTGCAATCGACTGCTATAGCTGGAAGTAATAATAACTGATTGCTAATTCTAATGGAATTGACTACTTTGGTTAATTGTTTTTTAGAAAATTGATCTATGTTAAAGCAATTGATTGCTATTAAACAGGAATCAACTGCTTTATAGGAAGCTGAATGTTGAATCTTTTTGGAAATTAGAATTACAAAGAGGTAGTTGACTATTTTGTGTAAAAATTTTAATTTTCAAAAATGTGAAAAATAGTTTTTTTTGTACGAAAAGTTTGATTATTTAAATGAATAAATATGTCTATAATCTTTCAAAGAGATATTTATAATCAAAAGGGAATAATCTTTGATTGAAACAATACAATTAATGAGTCATAACCTTAAAATTTAATCTTTATAAATAAAATGTCGAAAGTATTTATTTGTACATTTTTAAGAATTGATTACTTAAAAACTCTCCTTTTTTTTTCTCCCATTATTGCCAAAAAGTGGCTAGTTACTTTGACATAATTTCTACATAAATTTATGTTCAAAGTATGATATTCATTTTCATCAAAGGATATTTAGTGGTTTGATATCACAAATGCAAGATAAAATCAAACAAGGCTTTATTGTATTTTAAAGGCTTCTTGATTATATGTCTTTTACATGTTATAATTGGTAGAGAGACGAAATAAGCCTTAAGCAAAATGACATTTCCAGTACGCCTTAAAGTTATTTTCTTGTTTTTTGAAGGTTTCATCTTATGTTCAATCAAGGCTTGAAAAAGGAAAACTACAATCGAATATGCAAATGGAAGATCAGTACCAACTTTAATGTTCGCGAAGATGCAAGCTTTGGAACTAACAATCTTAAGACTTAATTTTGTTCATTCAAACTTAAAATGGAAATGTTCAAAGGCACATGAAAATGGCTATACTATTTTGGAAATTGAAACAAAATTAATTAAGCAATTTGTGAGAAAAGGAAATGGTTCGCATATGAAGGTATGCCAAAGAAGAGAAAAAGGAAGGTTATCACCAAAGAAAGCTCATGATGATTTCACCAAAAATTAGGTAAGTTATATCCACCTTTTGATTTATGCTTGATTTATAATTATATTAATTGTTGTTACGTTTATATGATAAGATAGCAACTTTGAAAGGTAACTTAAAATGAACTTTCTTAAATTCCTTTTGTTCTCATAATTCATGTGTATCTATCATCATGAAGTTAAAGTTTCAAAAAGGCCATTGTTATGAATGATAATTTTTGAAATGCTTATGTTTAATTCTTAAATAAGAAGATTGGTAACATAAAGAACAAAAAGAAAAATTAAAACTATTATAGTCTATTGTTCATGAGATGGAGTTAAGTTTGTCTTATTCAAAAAAAAAAAAAGATTCTAAATTAATGCCATAGAGTGCACAGTTTATGGAAATAAAATCACTAAAATGATTGACATCTTCTTGTAGCAAGAAAAGTGTACTGATAACAATAAGTTTCAATTTTGTTACAAGCTTTTGATAGGAGCAATTGACTACTCACACAAAAAATTCGACTATCTATAGCTTTTGAATCAAATGTTGGCTTTCTTCTTGAAAATGAGTTGATTGCTCTATATTAGGTAGTCAACTGCACTACTTCAAATGTTAAATAACCAACTTTTGAAATGACGGTAGCTGATTGCTTAACCAAAGAATTGACTACCCTTTATGAAAACCATTTTGAAAAGTAATTACAATATCTAAATGATATGTAAGGTATATAAGTAAAGTCTAAGAATTTTTTAAAAGTGTTTCAATTATATAAAGAAGGAAATGTGATAAATATGGAATTCCTTCAAATTGAAACCTAAGTTAAAACAATATAAATTTATAATTTATAGTATGCTATAAAGGTTGGTTTCAAGATAATATTTATATAACAAAAGTAAATTTGCTTTATTTAAATATGAATGTAATTTACAATGGAATATACTTTGAATATGATTATGTATGAAAGGGATATGGCTAAAACCTTGTTTGCTATGATATTTTGGCAAATAATTTAGCATGTTTATTATGATGCATGAAACTATAAAGTATATTTTTATGATTCTATGATTAAGCATGATTAATTGATATATTTAATGAATTGCATGTTTAATAAAAGATGTATAAGAATTTATTTTCTAAAATTAGAATCATGTTCTAATATGCCTTAATTGTTTCATAATAATTTTGATAACAATTGATAAAATAAGAATATATTTGTTATGGTTATGCTATGATTTTGACAAAATATGATTTTATTGTTTACTATGATATATATAAGTATATAGCATGCATGAATGATTCCAAAATTAAACATGTAGTTAACATATTTGACTCATTACATGCTTAATAAAGAATTTAATAAATTAATTTTTTAAAAGAAAACTAGTAAAATGCTTGAAACAACAAAATATGCATAGCTAATTTTGGTTAATAATACATGATTTTATAACTATTATTATGAAAATATGTGTTATGATTTTTGAACCAGAAGATTAATTGCACCTATAGTACTTGATTAAGATTAATAAAAGAAAAATTATATGAAATGTCTATTGGTAATAATCTTAAGAATTGCACTAATTGTATTATACATAATTTGATGTGAAATTATTTTTAGAATTATTCAATTATATTGAAACAGGTGAATTTTATTATATAGAGTCTACTAAAATGACACTCTTTTTGTATGGCATAATACTTTTTAAAAGATTAACCTAAAAAGTTAATGATAAGCTCTTAGTTAAAGACAAGATCATGAGACAAAGGCATTTATAACATTATATCATGATTAAATATAGTTCAAAATTAAAAGGAATAAAGTTATTCTCATGAACTAAGAACTGTAAATCAAACCTAATATTTCTAAAGGTTTGAGTATGTTGAGCGATTATAAAAGGTTTTCAACACCTATAAACTAAGAAATTAGAAAAGAATAAGTGCATTGGATTATGCACACAATAAGACATGTAGATTCATAATTTATTGAATCTAAATATCACAATTATAGTTTTATTTGTATTTGAATCAAGGATGTCATATTAAAAAAATATATTTATAAATATATTAAGGACAATTTCTCAATTTATCTCAAATTAAACTTGGAAAGATTTCTTCAAATATGAAAAATATAAAGACCTTGTTAAAAAAGTTAGAAAGTGAAATATGATTCAAGTTTTTTAATAAAAGAATAAGGGAATTATAAAACTTAGATTTCATAAAGGTTTTTATTTAAAAAACAAGATAGGTTGCATATAAACCTATACAATAAAGTTTATTATGAAACCTAATATAAAGTGTTAATAAGACAAACAAAGTTTTAATATGTAACATTCAAGAAGGATGTTATAAAAGATTAATATATACTTATGGTAAATAACATTTGTATCTTAGCACACAAAATCTCCTTGGTTCAAACCAATAAAGGTTATAAATGATATTTCATAAAAATAAAGTTGATAAGACTATAAAAAA